CTTTGGTAAAGCATAGGATATCCATTTTCTATTGGTTGAGTTTTCATACAACAACAGTTACCATACCAGTATCAAAGGTGCTCCATTTGAAGCCCTTTATGGTCGGAAGTGCAGATCACCTATGTGCTGGGCTGAAGTGGGTGATACGCAACTAGCTAAAGGACAAGTTCCTGACAACACTCTCACACCCGGAAATCATCAAAAAGATGACTGAAAAGATTGTTCAAATTCGTGAATGATTGAATGCCTCTAGAGATAGACAGAAGAGCTACGCAGACAAAAAACGAAAACCCTTGGAATTCCAGGTTGGTGACCGCGCGCTATTGAAGGTCTCACCCTGGAAGGGCATGATACGCTTCAGAAAGCGTGGCAAATTGAATCTAAGGTACATTGGGTCTTTCGAGATTATCGCTAGAATCGGCCAAGTAGCTTACAAACTCAAACTACCCCAAGAACTTAGCAACGTACACCCTACCTTCCACGCGTCTAATCTAAAGAAGTGTCTATCCGACGAGACTCTTGAGATCCCACTCGATGGAATCGAGATAAATGAGAGCCTCAACTTCATGGAAGAACCGACAGAAATCATGGATAGGCTAGTCAAACAAACCAAACAAAGTTGTATACCAATAGTGAAAGCCTGCTGGAATGCTAAGCGAGGACCTGAATTCACTTAGAAGCGGGAAGATCAAATGAAACAAAAGTACCCACATTTGTTTCCTTAGTCCATGTGTATCACTTTAGACTTAATTTCAGGAAAAAATTCCATTTAACGGGGGGATGATGTGACAACCCGTTATTTTCAAACTTGTAAAAGTCAACCAATGGTCAAATGATTAGAAATAAGTTGATTAAATAAAATTTTATATCTAGTTATGAGTATTTAGTCTAAGCATAAAAGGCTTTTAAAGCAAAAAGTAAATTCTATTGGAAACCGATAAATCTCACAACTTCTAAGCCTTCGGACCGAAAACCCTCGTAAAGGCCACTTGTTTTAAACCGCAAACCATTTTCGGCCGTAAACTCCTCGGATCGCAATCATGCAAGGCAGCAAACCATTTTCGACCAAACACGTGTTTACTCGATGCGAGTTCCTGACCAAAATCAGACCAAGTTCTATCCTTTGACACCCATTCCAACGTGATTTCACACCTTCCAATGCAAGTGTCACTTCAATAAATCTTACTATAAATGCATAGAACTGAGAACTCGCCCTCATTATCTCACCTTCCAACCGAAAACACCTCTTTTCCTCTCAATAACACAAGCTGAGAACCTTACTCCTCTCTCAAGTATCATGCGAAAATCACCTACATCTCCTTAACTACAACCGAAGACACATTGATCTTCTTGGTTTCACCAAGAACACCAATTGAATCATCAAGTGACCGAAAACCCATAGGTGGCTGAAAACCCCTATCTCCCTTGCGGTTCACTTCTAATACTCCTATTTGTAAGTGATTCTTACATCTTAGGCGATTCTGTAACATGTTTACCACTATATTCGCTAATTATATACATATATATTGTGTGAAATGCTATTAGGATTCGGTTTTTTTACGTGATCTATCTTGTGGAATTAACGCTACTACACTGTATCTTCACTCGGATACTCACATAAGGTGGGTTCATACCCCTATATTTTACCATTTTTAAATGCTTTTACGGGAAGAATACAAGCAAAACACAAGATAGTTGTGTTAACACTTACATACGATTACAAATCATTTTAAAATATTAAATGCTTTTATAAACTTATCAAACCATTTTAAACTGTTTTTCAACCTCTTAAATTGTTGTTTTTATTAAAACTATATATATATATATATATATATATATATACATATATATATATATATATATGTATGTATGTATGTATAACTAGGTTTTAATAGATTTAGGACTATTGCACTTGCCTTAACTCCTGTTCCTTGTTTGGTTGTAGGCTTAGGGTAGGATCACCTGTCCGACTGTCAGTTAAACCTTAATTATACATGCGAAATATATATATATAAGTATTAAACTTATTTCAATAACATTGTTAATCATTTTCAGTATAAACATAACACTTGTAAACTATAATAGGTATAATTTTGAGATCCATTCACACTAATTACTAGCTCAATAATACATTACATAAATCAATACATAAGTACAAATTACTTTTCATTACAAGTACTTATTCATATACAAGAACAAGAGAACATATATACACTATATGTAAACGAGTTAATACTAGAATGTGAGACACTACTTCATGGTACCTTGTAAGGTACATGCTAAGTCCTATTTTAAAACTAGAGTCTCCTGGAGGGAGGGCGTGAATTTGTGTATAGATCTATATGAGACTGGCAATCCCGCACCTCGACTGTTAGCTACAGTTGGACTGGCAGGTCCAGGGGTGACAAATGTCATAACATTTCGATGCCTGAAGAACGTCATGTAGGCCACTACTCAGTTCAGTATAGTTATAATCTCACTCATAGTAAGCATTAATTAAACATTTGGTTTACAAAACAAATACCACTTCAGTGGTTTTATTCTAAGTAATAAGACTACCTATCATTATTTCCAGTACTAATACACTATAGAGTTCATACAAGTGCAGTATACTATTTTCTATCAAAGAAAACATACATATATGGAAACCATACACTTACACTATTTTAGAGTACAAAAATATACAAACATTTTGGTCTTAACTCTTAAGGCCTAAGACTACTTTTCATTTAAATAGAGAAAATATTCGATTTTCTGGAGAAACACACTAACTCTATCATGAAACAAAGATAGATTTCTAATACTAAATGCTTATGAACTCACCAACTTAAATGTTGATACTCTATTTTCAAAATAACTTGTATTCTCAGGGAACCAGTAGACAGATACACTTACTCAAGTTTTGAGAAGATGGAGCTTATTCAAAACTCTTCTTTTATTTTCCTATACATTTTTGGTGTCAAACAATCAATTCTAAGAACACACTTGTATTAACTATATTTTAAATACAATGGATGTTGTTGCTTGTTTTACTATTATACAATTGTTATGATACTGTACATGACGTCCTCCGCCTCCGAACGTTTCTGTCGTTCTGGTTTGGGGGTGTGACAAAAGTGAAGAGGAACTCGGAATATCAGTTGAGATAGAATAAAGATGAATGATCTTTGTATTTCAATAATAGTTCAGAAAGATCGTGAAGGTGTGTTTTACATTAGGTGTTATCCTGTATTTATAGAGTCCCGAAAAGTTACATTTGAAATAAACAAATAATATCATATTGACTTCAGTGATCATGCAAGGTTCACTGTACAAAACTATGCAAACATGCTAAGTCAGTAAAGTAACTTGAAAGTCTTCATCATTTATCTTTGTGGTAGTAGTTATGGTTGCGGTTCAATTGTAACGCCCGTAGATCCAGACTAGTCAAATTAGAGATGATAAGCATCAAAAATGACTTTTTGATGGAATATTATTTATAAGGATTAATCTTAACCAAGTTGTAGTATATGTCACAAGGTTTCCGTGCATATAAAGAACGCCAAAATCCGAGTTATATCGAAGAAGTTATGACCTGTCGAAGTTTCGCGACAGAACCGGCATGACCCAGCGCGACCCAGTGCGACGTAAATAGTGAATTTACGTTAGAGAGATATTTTTCCAAAACAATCTAAGTGAGAATTGAATATCTCATCGATAGTATTGCAACGATGGAAAGACGGACGAAAACGGACGTCAGATGAAGGAGTTATGATTTTATAACGTAGTTTTCTTGTCCCGGCCTACTAAAAATAATATATAAGTCATATAATTATAATATTTTAAAAATAAAGTCAAAATTAGCCAATAGAGTCTAAACGAGAGTTGTAGAACATAATCTCACCTTCACGTCGATATAAAGAACGTCGAAAACGGAGTTTGTATGCGAAAGTTATGAATTTCTGAAGTTCGGGGCACGAAACCCCAAAACTGTCAGAGACCACGACGTGCTTACAGTTTTGTTTATGGTTTCAAGTATCAACGGTTGGAAAGGAAGGGCTCAGCTTGATTGTAGTGCACACACCCATGTTTTTCGCATTATGTGATTTTGGGCTGAACTCTAATAAATGTTTTTAGTTAGAAATGTTTTTGGAATACTTGCATTTAAAAGATATATGTGTTTTGACTATACTCCATTTTCTAATTTCTTTGAGATGAACCCTCCAACATCCTCTCCGATTACAACAACAATTCCAATCTCTTCTATTCCCTCACTACCTCCAAAGATATATGTGGGTGTTTCTCTACCCCATATTTTTGTTCCATTATATACTCCACTCTTCACATATTCTACAGGTACTACAACATCTGCTGTAAGTACCCCAGAAGTCACTGACAACGTATCTGATATGGGGGCAAGTGTCACTTTCGGTGTTACTCTGGATCAAGGCACTTCTAGCACTTCATCATTCTGTGATGAGGATCCAGATATTATTTTTGGGGATGATCAACAACACTTTCTAGATTTTGTTTTCATCCCTTTCACCATTCATCAAAACAATGATGATGATGAAGCACCAATGACCAAAGGGTAATTCAAACAGTTAAATGAAAAGTTGGATTCTATTCTTGAGTCTTCAAAATCTTCAACCAACTATGAGTATATTCTCAAGACTCATCAAGCTGTCATTGAAACAATCACGAAGGAGAATGCAAAAGTTCTGTCAGAATCCACAAAGGTTATACAGGCTTCGGAGAAAACCCTTACTAAGATGACCGAAAAAGTCGAAAAACTACATATTGAAGTTACAGAGTTCATGGCTGACTTCTGAAGATCTTCTGATGAAAATACCAAAGTAGTCAATAAGGTTATTGCAGGTCATGGCTCTAATCTGCAAGTTGAGAAGGAATCTCTTTCTCATGTCCGCTCAGGGATCAAGGCTGATAATGATGCACTTAATGCCTCTGTTGTGTCCAAGATTGAGAAACTTCAGGCAGATCTTGCTATAGAAAACAGTCTTATGGACAAACTTGCTCAAAAGACTGAGAAGGCTAAGGTTCTTTCCGTGAAGTTGAAATACACCAACAAGCATCTTGACAACTTGGAATCGGAGAAAACTGTTATCAAGAGCTACGTTTCAGAGGTCAATCAATATTTGTGAAGACTGGTTGAGACTCGTGATTCTCTACTCACCGTCTCGGTACGACAGCATCTTGCCGACAAACTCAAACTAGTGTTTTCCATGCCTAACAAGAAAGAGGGTGTTTCGGAATTTGATGTTCTTCCGAAACAAGGGGGATGAAGATACGAAAGAACAACCCAAGAAAGGATTGTTGAACCAACTGACGAAACAGAACAGAAACCAAAATCAAAAGATCAGAAGGATAATGAAGCTTTTATATCTAATGGTAGAGAGAAAGTTGTTGATGATGTTGATGAGGAAGAAGTGTTATCCGAAGGTGAAAAGCTTGTGAAGAAGAAATGCGATAAGGAACTTGATAATCTTTTAAATCTTCGACGTGAGTTAGAAGAGACTGAGGTTGAAGCTGAAATTGCAAAAGTCACTCTTGCAACTCAGAAGTCCCTCTTTCCTCTGTGAACTCTGGAAAGGATTCAGAAGGAGACGATTGATGAACCAAGTACCAATTGGTTGGAGCCTTCGTTTTCATTTAAGCTAGACAATACTGTAGAATCGCAACTCGAATTCCCAATTACTCCTATGGCGTTTATATTCAGATGCTTTGAGAAGATTGAGAGAGCTCCTCTTTCTGATAATGATGTCAATCATACGCTCTTCTCTTTCTATCTCAAGTATGGCAAGCCTCAATTCTAAACTTGGAGTTTACAAAAGCTCGCCGCAACGAAGGTTTATGCTCCCATTCCAACTAAAAGCTTCATCAACGTCAAATTCAAGGGATTTAGAGGAACCAATCGCACTGCAATTGAATTTACACTTGCTGATCTACCTTGTATGAATCCTTATGATTGGATTTCTCTATCCTTGATTTTGTCCAAAGACGAACAGAAGTATGAGCCAATTATTGCTCATCTTATGAGAATGTTGATTTGCTACATTCAAGAGTTTGCAAAATGGGTATGGAAATCGCAGCTGTGCTGAAAAAGAAACTGATTTTGAAACCAGAAGAAGAATAGAAGGATCTAAATAAGATGAAGTTGGGCAAAATTTGAAAGGAAAACTGGAGTGTGGTGTACCAGAGGAAAAGTGATCAGAAATTTTAGAGATGTATATTGTTTTTGCTAGACAAAAATTTAAACTCAACATCTGCCTTGAACTACATCCTGGAATTAACCGAAGCGTGAAATTGAATGATGTTGGCGATCATAAATGTTTTTCCGACAATATCAAATGGTTGTTATCCGAAACACTCTTCTGAACTTAATGTCAAAATTGTTAAATGTACGAAAAAGACAACAGAAATAGAGAACTCCTTCCTTATTTGACACAAAGGTGAAGATTGTTAGGGTTATTAGTATTATGTCAAATGTATTTTGTATAGGTTTATTTCTCTAAGATGGCCTATCCATACTCGTGTATTATGCTTATCCATCTAGCTTATATATTGCATGCATGTAACAATTAGGGTTAATCAATTGTATCACCCTACCTAACTCTCATAGAGAAGTTCTCGTTGAACTCTTCTAGAGCTTTGATAATCTAAGCATTCGGCACTACTTAGATCATTGTTCTTGTTATTTGATTCACATTATTGTTTATAGAATCTGTCGATCTATATTATTATTTTTACATTTTCAACTACTATGTACAGATAGGGGCCAGACATGAAATATCAGAGTGCGGGACCATTTTAGCATTTAAGTTGTTCTAATATCCAACAACCCTATGCGGCCCTTCAAACCACATTCCTCGTACTGCGAGCAGTTAAAAGGTATTATAATAACACATTGTATAATTTATAATACTTAGCACATATATTGTTTATAGGTTCATAATAACGATAATGAACTTAAACACCAGCTATACTTAAGGTAGGGTAAGCATAACTCACTTACAAGGGGTTTAACGAAGAATCAGGCTCTATGCGGTCAAAACTTCTAAGCCGAAAGCTCTTCTTTAGCGAAGAACTGAGTTCAGCATTCATTATATGTATGGAACTCTTGTGACATATACTATAACTTAGTTAAGATTATTTATTCTAAATAATCTTCTATCAAAAATTCGTTTTTTGATGTTTATTGCTTCTAAATTGACTAGCCCGAATCTGCAGGCGTTACATATAATGTTAAGATTCTAAGGATATGGCTTATAGTCGTTACCAACTCTTATGTACAAATTAGCAGTTATGGTCACAAAAACACACATGAACACACTCTCTTTTACTTTTACTTTGTAACAAAACATACAATACTTGTACTCATGCAATTATTCAATAAAATCATCAAAGGTAGCCTAGATATTTTCGGCTCCCAAGGTTTTGTGTCATAGATCTTAACCAATATCAAGGGTTTTCCTTGTAATTCTTGTGTTTTGCGCCTTCGAATCTTGTTTGAGATTATGATTACAACATCCCAGCCTTTACTACTTTGTTTGGTATTTACTAGTATACTTTTCACCAAAATAACTACCACCTCTTACACCCTTTCAAAACTTACATCCCCCTATCATCCACCATCTTAACAACCTCCTGTCATGCCATTGCAAGTTGACCACCATTACCATTCGACCATTTGCACCATCAAGCCTCCATTACAGCCAACCATCACACCAACTACACTCTACATGTCGAAGAACTCCTCACTCGAAACACCTTCACCACCATACATCACCCTTTTTCCTTTCCTCAGCCAACCTTCGACCGCCTCCATCCAAATCATCATGAACCATAGTTAAAACAGATGAGAGCAAGAAAAGAAAGAAGAAGATAAGAGGAGGTTGCATACAGGGGAAAGAAAGTACAAGAAAGAATAGAGCACAAGATACTTATTCACCGGGAAATCGAAAATCGGCGAAAAAAATCATATCTCATCTAAAAAGATGACCGAAACTTAGTCGGAACCATCGTCAGAAAATGCGTACTTGAACTGGAAACCTACAACAAATCATAAGAACATAATACAAGCAAAACAACAAGTCAAATGATATATTTTGTAATAATAATAACTAAAAACAAAAAAAAACAAAAAAACAAAAACAAAAACAAGCACAAACACAAACGTAAACAACACAAAATCATTGTTACCTTTTTAAAGCATTCTCTCATGTTTTAATAAATATTCTCTCTGTCTCATATTAATAGTTTATATTTCTTTTTTGGTTTGTCTAAAAATAATAGTCTACTTCTAAAAATGAATATTCATTTTACCAAAATACCCCTCATTATTAGTTAAACTACCATGAAATTAAATACATCTAGCAAAAAATTAAATGCAATAAAAAGATAACACTATCATTTCATTTAAAAAGTTAAAAAGTTAGTGGTAATCAATGTTTCCTTAATTTTCGTTTTTTCTTTTTTTGTCTGAGGACAATAATTTTGGGACATATGGAGATGGAGTAACTGTTAAACTAAATTGTGTTGGTAAAACCTCCGAATCATCTTTCGAACCATAAACCAACAGTCCAAGTTATTTCCATAAAATAAGAGAAATTATACAAAACATAAAGTTAACCAACCAACCTTCCATTTCTTCCATTTCTTTGAGAACCTTTTAAGTAAATAACAATCCATCATCAAAACAACAACTAATCTTGCCAACACTCATATCAATCATCATCATTCAGTATGTGATGTGCATCTAAACATAAAAACAACTCCTTACATATCCAAAAAAAAAAAACATTCTCACTGTTTTGCTTCTTCTGCTTTTAATTCTACTTTTGCTTCTTCTTCTGCTTTTGGTTCTTGTTCTTGTTCCCTATTCGACTCAACCTGTCCGGCCCCACTCTCGGGTCCCACTTTTTCTTCAATCTTGATTTCAGTCTCCTTCACGGGCTCCACCTGGGTCCCAGTTACCTCTTTTGGACCTTCTTGGGTCGGACCCGGAACCACAAAACCCGGACCAGGTACAGGTATGGGTCCGGGCCCTTCTTGGGTCGGACCCAATGCTCCAAAAGCCGGACCCGGTAAAGGTACGGGTCCTGGGACTTGTGGAAGAATGGTGGACCCGGTTTGGGCCAAATAAGATTGCAGCCATTGAAGAAGTTGATGATCGAGTGGAGTAGAAGTGGAAGCATTAGTATTCTGAGTAACTGTTTGAAGAAGGGCAGGATACAGTGCTTCGAGTGCAGGATAAAGAGCCTGGAGCGCCGCCTGTCCCAAAGTAGCTTGCTGTTCCTGAAATCTCTGAAGATTAAAAACATGTTTTTTACCTTTCAAATGGCTGTCAAATGTGGGTCCCGATTCACATTTCACATCACAAAGCTCGCAAATAAATGGAACGATTTCCTTCTGTTTCTTCACGGCTTCAACCGGTTTCCGTTCCACTTCCCTCGTCTTTCTCTTTAACCCGTTCTGATTCTGTTGTTCTTCTGATTCCGGGGCGGGGGGAATCTGTGATTCCTGAGTTTTGGCTGCGAGTTTTTGTAAATCCTCTTGAATTTTTAGATTCTTTTTATGTTTTTTCCCGTTTCTATGGTTTTCGAGTATTTCAAGAGTGTTGCAATCAACCCGACAAAGTTCACACCATGCCATAGCTCGTGGTTTCGGCTCGGTGGTGATTTTACCACTTCGCCCTTTGCCCCGGCCTCTTCCTTGACCACCGCCCCGAAACCCTCCTCTACCCGTGCCTCTCCCCGAACCGCTAAATTGGCCTTGCCCGTTCTGCAATATAACTCGGTCACACACAAGGGTATAAATGTAAAATCAGGATGCAACGAGGGTGTTAATGTAAATAAATATTAGTGAAGTTTCAAGTTAAACAGTTGTATATATATAGCAAGAAATACTATTATCCCACTAAAAATATTCTGGTGTAGTTTCTTTTATGTAGACAAGACTTGATCTAATAAGCTATATATATAAGTGTTTCTCATTTACTTAATGGAGAAAGAACTACCGAATAATGAAAATTCAAGTAAAGGAAGCTTTCCCCATTAAGTTCTAACCTTTTACATATTTCTTTCCTTCCATTTTCCCAAGTGTATTTATCAGTTTCTTAAATATTTTTTAAGCATCGTTTATCCAAACAACACTTAATGGGAAAAAAAACAAAGATGAAATAGGCCCTTACTATCGAATTCTAAACCGTAGATTTGGTCTTCAAAGTTGAGATGTATGCATTGGTGCATACATTATTAAGAAAGAAAATGTTAACTTTAGAGGTGAAGCAAACTACATTTCAAATACAAAATGATATGGATTTTTTGCAAATCAATATCTATTTTGATGTTGAAATGTAGTAACACTACCTTGAAAGTTACGTTTGTATCCCTTTTGGGGTGGGAAAGCAGGAGTAATATTACCGTTAGTTTACTCTACAGTTCACATTTTCTATGCAATGCCCGTTTTTGAAGAACTAAGGACGAACTCGTAATTTTCCATGAAATTCAAGAAGATCCATCTTCCCTCAACAAAGAAACTGCTGCAAGAAGCTATGAGTGATTCAGCATGCCTCAAGAAG